ATGTATTTGTTTGCTTTTCCTGTAACTAAGTTTGTACACGAAACATTTTCGCCAAGTAAAGTACTTTTAATGCTACTGGGTCAGTTTCCTTGAAGTTTACTGCAAGAACAGACAACAAATAGAAATTAAAGTTTTGCCAAGCTTTACAGGTGGGCTCATCCTTGAGACGTAACTGGGATTTGTAGTCCAGAGCATTACAGGTGGCGGGTTGGATAGTTGTGTTATCAATCTCGAGGGAAAAGTTGGGGGAAGGTGCAAGGGCAGGAGGAAATATCATGAGCTCAGTTTTTGAAAGGTTGAGTTTTAAGAAGTGTTGCGACATCCAGACCGATATGTCTGTTATTAGATTAGTGACACGCAAGGACACTGATGGGGTGAGTTGTAGAGTAGAAAGATTTGAGTGTCATCGGCATAGAGATGGTATTGGAAGCCATGTGAGGTTATTAACTGACCAAGGGAGGAGGAGTAGAGGAGGGGTCCAAGGACAGAGCCTTGGGGGACCCCTACAGGAAGAGGAGGGGAGGAGTTAGATTTGTAGGTAACACTAGAGGAGCGCTTAGATAGGTAGGAGAACCACGAGAGAGCAGAGTCTTGTAGGCCAAGCGAGTGGAGTTTTTTTGAGGAGCAGCGGGTGGTCAACAGTGTCAAAAGCAGCAGAAAGGTCTAATAGCAAGAGAATGGTATAGTGGCCATTGTGTTTAGCTGTTAGTAAGTCATTAGTGAGTTTTAGGAGGGCGGTTTCAGTGGAGTGTAGAGGGCGAAAGCCGGAGTGTAAGGGATAGAGAAGGTTGTCATCAGTGAGGTGGCTGCTCAGGCGGCTGTAGATAACGCGCTCTAGGAGTTTGGAGATGAATGGGAGTAAGGAGATTGGTCTGAGATTGTTGAGGGTGGTAGGGTCCAGTGAAGGTTTTTGGGGTATTGGGGTGACTAGTGCATGTTTTAGAAGGGGGGGATGCCAATAGAGAGGGAAAGATTGAAAATGTGAGTAAGAGAGTGTAGGATAGAGCAAGAGGGTGACCGAATTAGTGGTGAGGGAACAGAGTTCAGGGGGCAACTGGTTAAGTGGGTGTTAGAGAGAAGCTTTGTAACCTCCTCTGTGGTGACACAGTAAAAGAGGAAAGTAACAAGTGTGATGGAGGGTCTGGAACATGAATAGGGGAAGGTGACTGCACGGTGGCGATCTGATCCCGAATTGTATCTATTTTGTTTTTTAAATAAATGGCAATGTCTTGGGCAGTGAGTGATTTAGTGGGTGGGTGGTGGCATGGGGGACATAGTAGAGAGTTAAAAGTAGAAAATAGTTAACATGGTCTGGATGAGTTGAGAGTTGTGTTAATGAGATTGACAAAATAAGTCTGCTTGGCAGCACGGAGGAAGGAGTTATATGTTAGGAGGGCAGCTTTATACAGGGTAAAGTCTTGCAGAAGCCTAGTTTTCCACCACAGTCGTTCAAGAGCACGGCTATGTCTTTTTAGATGTCTGGTTTCTTTAGATTGCCATGGTTGTAGTGGATATTGTCGAAGTCTGTGTGTAGTGAGGGGAGCCAAGGTGTCAAGGGAGGAAGAGAATGCGCTGTTGTAGACAGAAGTAGCCAGATCAGGACAGAGATGAGATTTTGTCGTAGAGGTAGTCAGTAGCATCTTATTAATATCACTCCCTTTCCCAACCTTGGTGTATTTGCTGCAAGATAAGTTTTCAAAAAAATACCTAGGTACAATGTATAATATAAATACTAAAAAAGGACCACCACTTTCCCTGCTTGATCTAGTGGAAAAAAACTCATCCTTAACTTACTTACATACTCGCCTCTCCTTTGTTCTCACTGCCCTGTAAGGCTGCCCTATATAAGTTACTACGGTAGTCACTTAAGTCATCGCTTACACAGGGCTACAGACTGTCCCAGTGAGCAGCACCAATTCCTTTATGTTTCAACATATTAACAACTTGGTAAAAATAAGTTTGTTTTTGTTTTTTTAAATAAAAAGCAAAACAAAAAACGACTGATAGCAATTAGAACTTACCAATATTTCCTCCAATTTCATATAAACAAACTTCTTCTCTTGACAGAGTCACCGAAGAACCACTGGCAAGAAAAAAAAAATAGGATTATAATCTTAGTTCAATAACCATGATGTGACAAATCATAAAATTCTTCAAATGAAAATGAACTAAGATTTTAAAGGAGAACACTAGGATTTATGTATTTTTCTGGAACAGCCACAAGTCAAATACGGTACCTGTAATGTTGAGTATCCTATGGCTGGATCGCAGCTATTTACTGTACAAATCTTAGCGTCATTCATCCCAGATACACCACACAGCACTCCGGTGCTGTGACAAAGTTCCTGCTCTTATTCAGTAAAAGGATCATGTCATTGATCATTGAAAATGATCATGTCATGCCCCCACTTCTACACTTGTCCATTCACAAAAAAAAATTGCAATGTGTATACACAATGCAAGACGTTCTGTGAATGGACAAGGGCAGATCCTATCGCCTACCCACCCTTACTTTCCCCTTGTCCTTTCACCGAACTCCTGACTTTGGCTTGAGACTTTTTTCTTTTACTTAGATTTTTCTAAACTCTAAACAGACCCCTTCCCCACAGTTCGGTATCGCTGTGCACGCTGGAGTGTGATCAATAATTCCAGAGCCATCAATTACTTAACTCTAAAGCTGGCCATACACCTATAGATTATCTGCAGATTTTCTCTGGTCAGATGGAAAAGTGCAACAGATCCCTCCATCTACGCTAAACTGTGTGGATGAAGGAATTTCCCACTGGGCCAAGCTTCAGTATCTTCACATTTAGTGGCAAGCAGTCTGCATTTTTCCCGCGTGTTTGTTCATGGGGAAAAGCCACGTTTGGGGTGCCATTACCCAGTAATGGCAACGCAAACACGTTTTGCGTTTGTGCTAGCGTTGTTTGCCGATCACAATACACCCTGGTGTGAACGGGGTCTAAATCGATGACAAGTATAGGCATGTAGAATTTTTAGGCTTGACATGGTTGGTATCGATGTGTTCGATGCAACCTCATATCTTATATTGTACTAACATACTGGGTAATTTATTGTGTTTGTGTGCACTAAAATTAACTAAATAGTAAAAAAAAGTGTACTAATTTACTGAAAACATGGGTTCGATAAGAACTGTTATCCGCTAATATCAAGTGCAACCACCACTGTATTCTCCAGGGTCTCTTCTTTCAGAAAATATATACTTTTTTTGGGAGGGGTTTAAAGAATCTTGAAATCAGCCTAATATGTGCATTTTAATGTGTGGATTTTTTTATTTTTTTTTTAAACCTCTGGCAGCGAAAGGGTTAAAAACATCAAAATATGAATAAAGCATATTGCTAAAAAAATGACATACCTTTCTAGATTGAGGAAGCGTGCCAGAATGTCACCTGCTTTTAAATCTTCGGTTAGCTGTACCCCCATAGAAACTTTGGAAAACTGAGGCGCTTGTACCCGTATAAATCCCGGGGGTTTATCATTCTAATAAAAGGAAATATATACTTAAGCAATTTTAGGAAATATAAATCATATTAAGCTCTAGTTTTGTAGGAGTATATTTGCAGGCAGATATATTACAAGAGAGAAATACTTTTAGACAAATAAAAAACACTAGACCCATCTTCCCCAGCCTCAAAAAAAAATAAAAAATTCTGATTGGTCGGGAAGCTGGCCAATTAGGAAGCTGGCCTCGTGAGGTAACGTTACCTTACCTTAGTATGTGCAGCCTGTCACCCCCGGGGCCTCTCCAGCGAGAATGCGGCCTTCGTCCAGTACCCAGCCGGAGCCGTCCAATCAGGAAGCCGGGCGCTGTCTAATGACGCGACGCCCTGCTTTCTTATTGGCCGGGAAGCTGGCTTCATGCTCCCTCGTCATCTCATGAAAAGAGAGCATGGAGCCAGCCTCCCGGCCAATCAGAAAGCAGGCGTTGTAATTTTAGGGGCCTAAAATGTGGATTATAACGTGTGCAAAAAATTCAAAAAAGGCCTTTGTGGGAGGCTTTTAATTTTTTTTATCTTGGGTCCATTTTTCCTGGAGGCAGTAGCATAACCCTATGTCTCAGAATTCTTCAGAGCTGTGTCCCTCAATGGTCGATCGAGGAAAAAAAAATCAATACAAGCAAGAAAAGGGTACAGCCAATGACTTATTGGAACTGTAATACAAACTAAAAGGACAAGAGAAAGACCAATGACTTATTGGAACTGTAATACAGACTAAAAATAGGATTTTGGTACTCACCGTAAAATCCTTTTCTCTCCGCTCATTGAAGGACACAGGGAACAGATCGGAGATTACGAGGATGACCGGGAAGCTTTCCACCGCGACCCTGCGAAGAAGACGCAGCAACAGATACAGTGGAGGGAACGCGTAAATCAGACCGTAGCAATCCCACGGCGCCACCAGGGCATCCACCGCATACGCCCAAGGATCCTGGGTCCTGGCCACGAACCGAGCCACCAGCCGATTGAGGCGAGACGCCAGGAGATCCACGTCCGGGAACCCCCAGCGAAGGCAGAGCGGGTGAAACACCTCCGGATGTAGCATCCATTCTCCCGGGTCCACTGACTGGCGACTGAGATAGTCGGCCTGCCAATTTTCCACGCCCGGAATGTACACGGCGGAGAGAGCCGGAACATGCACCTCCGCCCAAGATAGAACTCTTTCCACTTCCCGAGCCGCGGCCACACTTTGTGTGTCGCCCTGATGGTTGACGTAAGCCACGGCCGTGGCGTTGTCTGACTGAACCCGGACCGGCCGTCCCTGAAGACGGTCCGTCCAGTGAAGAAGGGAGAGACGGATCGCCCGAAGTTCCAGCACGTTGATCGAAAGCCGAGATTCCTCC